CATAGGTTGTATTATTATATTCAGAACATGGGTATCATAGTATACACATTTCATAGCTAAGACCTGTATAGTTTATTTTCAAATGTTTATCTAGACTCTCAGGAGTCGATTGAAAATATCAGTGCTTGGTCACCTTGAATGTCCATATTTATGGGAGTTTCTTAAACAACCAAGATAATAAGAACTAGCTGGTGGAACTTTACTGAGCAGTTGAAATAATTAAACAGACACAAAGGTAGGGCAATTTAAAACAGTTATATTGAAGCAGTAGGTTTTATTTTCATTAAAGTGAGTAGAATCAAATAGTTCCTGTTATTAGATCAGCAATATCAGGGAACCAAATCTTGTTTTCACTAGAGTCACAAAGTTGATATGCCAGCCACTTCTGATTAGGAAGTGTTTTAAAAGATGCGCATGGCTTCAGTGTTTCATTATTTGAAGAGCCGGTCTGATGATTTCCAATGGGATTCTGAGCATGGCAACCTTGTGGAGCAAAGTTATTGTTTGAGCATTATCTGGCTTGTGGAGTGTTCAGCTATGTGGAAGTGGTAGGCTGAGAAAGTTAGCGAGCATACTTACTAGGATTTTTAATTTCCTTTGACTAGCCAATAACTTCCACTTATCAGATGCCCCATTTTTGTTGAATTTAATTAATTGACTGACGGTTTTGGGTCTGAAAACACTGATGTGGATAGGGATGGGAAGATACTTGCATCACGTGCCGAATTAGCCCTTCTTAGTTCTTGCTGTTTGCCTGGTTACAGGTCTGTGATCCAATCACAGGTGGTCGATACTGGCCAGCCCTCTTGAATTGTCTGAAGCCTTCCTAACTGGAAAAAGAAACACTAACTTGAGAACCTCAAGATGTGGGATTTGCTTTGGCCTTTTGCTATTTTTGGCAGAACTGTTTACTACTTTGTACCAGTCTCCCTGTCTGTGCATAGAGATAGTAGTTACTGTGTGATAGTGGTTGTTCAAGATGGCTAGATCCTTTGGTAGAAGACACCCCAGAGCTGACTCTCCAATGTCACTGTTAATGAAGCCCTCTGGAAGTGGCCTCTCTGCACTGGCCCTCCACTGTTAACACACGTTACCCAAGAGGGGTTGCCTCTTCTCTCTCAGGGTTTGTTTTATACGAAATACTTCAAGACGTTACTTTGCAGTGCTATTTAGAAAATGCCACATAAGTCTGAAGAGTTGCCAAATAGTATTTTTCCAGTAATACTTTTTAAAAAAACAGGTGTAAATTTAGTCATAAGAAACTTGGAAAATCCTCTGATAGTGCTAATACTAATACTAAACTGGAACCTGCTGAATAGCTTATAGTGCTTAATATTACTACATAATTTAGGTACTAAAGCTTTCTTATGATGATAAACATCAGGGATTGGGTGTTGTCTCAAGTCTCATTTCAGGCTCAGAAAATATGGTGGTCCTCAGATATACAGAGAACTCAACCTATTCTCTAAAGATAATATCCTACCCTAATTTAAACAGATAACAATGACCTTGGTAGTGAGAGTATCAGCCTTCAGTTTCCAATGCAAGTTAAGGAAACTTAGATCTAAGAAAGGACTTGGAAATGTTCTAT